TATATATATATATCTAAATACAGTACATATACATAGTACATAATGATATGGATGTACATCATACTACGTATTTTTACCCACCTTGGTATTTTAGGACCCATTTCAATTTTATTGTAACTAATTTTCGGGGTGCAATTATTGACGAAAACAATTTTATGTGTTGTAAGAGAAGCCGTGTAGGTTCTTTAAAAGGCCTGCATATTTTCAAATTTATTATTCCAGTGAAACAAAGATTAAACTCTGTAGCTGATAATGAAATAGAGACGGCTTTTAATTTTCAAAATAATTAGACCAATTTCACTATATTTTAACGGGAAGATATAAGAACATTTATGTAGGAGAAAATGAGCTTCTTTCTTTTATACAAATTTTATATAGACACCATGTATTAATACTCATTACAGTTATATTGCTTTCAATGCTGTAATCAAATGGGTTAATATGGTATAATTTAGCTTCATTTTAAGCAGTCTTTGACTGTTTCTGCTTCGTTGTATGGGTGTCTCTAAAAGAGATGATCAATATTTTTACTTGCTTTTTAAAAATTTTATCACAAACCTATCCTTAACTTTATCAACTACAGTATTTTAACTATTCAGTAATACTGTAAAACGCGACTGTCTATTGAATATTAACTGAGAATTTGCGCCAAACGGAACAATAGCAGACGATTAGGTAGAGCTAAGGCGGGACTGTCTGTGATTGGTTAATCCAATGAGCGCTAGAAGTCAAACGCAAGCCACAAGCAGGCTATATAAACACAACTATTTGTTAAATTATCATTCTCGATTTTTGTAAACCGAAGAACGAAATATTGTACAATATGTCTGGACGTGGTAAAGGAGGAAAAGCTAAGGGAAAGGCCAAGAGCCGATCAAGTCGTGCTGGGCTTCAGTTCCCAGTCGGTCGTGTCCACCGATTCTTGCGAAAGGGTAACTATGCATCTCGAGTCGGTGCTGGTGCCCCAGTCTACATGGCTGCCGTACTCGAGTACTTGACTGCTGAAATCTTGGAGTTGGCTGGCAACGCTGCACGTGACAACAAGAAGAGCAGAATCATCCCCCGTCATCTTCAGCTTGCCATCCGTAACGATGAAGAGTTGAACCGTCTTCTCGGAAGTGTGACCATCGCTCAGGGAGGTGTACTACCAAACATCCAGGCTGTACTTCTGCCAAAAAAGACCCAGGCCAAGTCCAAGTAAATTTCTACAACCATCTTCTCAAACCTAACGGCTCTTTTCAGAGCCACCATATGTAAAAAAGAAATTTGACAGTCGTTATCGTCTATTTTAGTTACTGTCCATCATATATTAAAATTGCTTGCGTTAATGTATATATCATTAGAATCAATACATTTATGCCGGTTCCGATCGGATTTTTATCATATTTATGTTACGGTAACATTTCCATAACAGTACAGACACGCTAAGACAATAACCCCTCCTTTGGGCCACCCCTATTTAGGGTGGAAACTTTCCGTGGAACAAGGGGAAATATACCTTTAATAACACTACGATTAACACATTAAGAGCACGGGGAAACCGTATGAATGCAAAGGGGACACTTTCCTTTTACTTGTATCAAAACAACTTAAGTACTGTAGTCTCTGAATAGAGGGAAAAAAGTCATATTTATATTTTGACAGCTTTTGAGCATTAAACTTCACATCAGAATGCTTCCTCTCAATCTTTAGAATGGACATTGGTACGTGCATGTATAATAATAATCTTGTCAATTTTGATCATTATATATAGGAATTTCTTGTTTTGTGTATTTTCTTATAGGATTGTAATCTATACCATACAGCTTGCACCCTGATTTCTAAGGTCTTATTCTATTCATGCTATTCTATCTTGTGCATAAAATAGAAAGTTCAATACTGTACTGTATTAAAAAAAAATTTTGTTGATAAACATTGCATTCGAATCAAGAAACAATATCGGGATCATATACAACTTTTATAGTTTAAATTATATAATTGTGCTGATTTCATATCATAAATAATTATTTATGCATTATAGTTATTAATTAGTTACAATTCAAATATAACTAATTCTTAGGTGAATAAAAATAAAATTATAAAGAATCTATGTTATAAGTCTCCTAAAAAGGTCAAGGCTAAAAAGCCAAAGGCAAAGAAGGCTGCCAACAAGTCTCCAAAGAAATCTAAGAAGTAGATGGTGTATTTCTCAAACCAAACTGCTCTTTTCAGAGCCACCATTTGAACAAAAGAGAACAATAGCTTGCCTATTTTATACTTCCCAAATTCTCAACTTATTTCCTCACCATTTATGGACACTGTATGCATATACTTCCTGGTCGTATAGTAAGGTATTGGAAGGTATAGATCAAGTATCCACACAGTAGCCTATATCAAAAAGAAGAGTATAATAATAATCTTGTCAATTTTGATCATTATATATAGGAATTTCTTGTTTTGTGTATTTTCTTATAGGATTGTAATCTATACCATACAGCTTGCACCCTGATTTCTAAGGTCTTATTCTATTCATGCTATTCTATCTTGTGCATAAAATAGAAAGTTCAATACTGTACTGTATTAAAAAAAAATTTTGTTGATAAACATTGCATTCGAATCAAGAAACAATATCGGGATCATATACAACTTTTATAGTTTAAATTATATAATGGTGCTGATTTCATATCATAAATAATTATTTATGCATTATAGTTATTAATTAGTTACAATTCAAATATAACTAATTCTTAGGTGAATAAAAATAAAATTATAAAGAATCTATGTTATAAGTCTCCTAAAAAGCTCAAGGCTAAAAAGCCAAAGGCAAAGAAGGCTGCCAACAAGTCTCCAAAGAAATCTAAGAAGTAGATGGTGTATTTCCTAAACCAAACGGCTCTTTTCAGAGCCACCATTTGAACAAAAGAGAACAATAGCTTGCCTATTTTATACTTCCCAAATTCTCAACTTATTTCTTCACCATTTATGGACACTATGCATATACTTACTGGTCGTATATTAAGGTATTGGAAGGTATAGATCAAGTATCCACACAGTAGCCTATATCAAAAAGAAAAAACAACCTAGTAAATTTATATATGAGGACCATCACTATTAGCAATACTGTACTCCAATTTCAAGTGTTTCTTGACAAATACGATTGATGAATCCTATTAGTTTATCACCCTATCTAGGCTGGGAACATGATGAGGGAGAGAGAGATGCTTTTTATTAAAATACATCATTGACATAATACGAACAATTTACCAACTATTTACAAACAATAAACATTTTTTTCTTTAAAAAAAAAAATTCGAAAATATTTTTTTTTCACCATAGAAGCCATGTGGTCTTCCCATCATTCTTGATTTTGTTTTTTTTAAATAAATTAATACGGAATACTGTCATCTAGTATTGAAAAACGAATGCAACTTGCGTCTAATAAACAATGATGGCGCCAGGTTAGTTTTTAATACTGTAGTCAAAATTTAAACTTATTTTGCCAATGCCAGTGTGAAGTCCAATTAATGAATAAAATGTTTGTGCATCTTTGAATTTTACAACTTACATCATCTTGTATCATTGATGAAAAGTATATATATATACATATAAATATATATACTTTTGAAATACAATAGATCAATGATATACTGTAATAATAATGAACGTTTAATAAATGTTAATTTTATGAACAGATACCGTGCTTATTTGACGATTTATAAACCGCCGTATAGGAATCAATCAACGAGCAAAGGACACATAACTATTTTTCATTTAATTATTCGAACATACATCTTCTAATCGGTAGCACTCAATAATAATTGGTGTGTTCACAAAAACATAAAAAGACTTTTATATAAATTAACATCTGTATTATGTAAAGTAAGCCTACCAAAAATTAAGCCCATATAAAGTGTATTTCAACTTGACTAAATTTAAGAAAATACATCAGATACATAACAAAATTAAAGTTTAGCCCCACTGTAAATAAAGGTAGGCCTACTGTACAAAAACAACACTTATTTACTACCCTCTTAGATAAATTCTGAAACATTCCCCACCCACCCGTAATATGAATATTAAAGCAATACATTGGTAGGATGTATTACCTTTTGCTCTTAAATTACAAACAAACCCGAAAAAAACAAAAGCGAACAAGTTTGTCTAGCATCAACACTGATTTCAAAGCTCCCGCTAAACAACGCTTTAGCCCAAGGTCAGTGAGAATGCAAGCGATACTCAGTCATTCATATTACGTCCGTATAGCGACTATATATATTTAATGAACGCAGTCTCAGGCACACTTCGAATCGAACTTCAAACGTAACAGTAGTCAGTATGTCAGGACGTGGTAAAGGAGGAAAAGGACTTGGAAAAGGAGGCGCTAAGCGTCATCGTAAGGTGTTGCGTGATAACATCCAGGGTATCACCAAACCAGCTATCCGTCGCCTTGCTCGTCGTGGTGGTGTAAAGCGTATCTCAGGTCTCATTTACGAAGAGACCCGTGGTGTATTGAAAGTATTCCTTGAAAATGTCATCCGTGATGCCGTCACATACACCGAGCATGCTAAGAGAAAGACCGTCACCGCCATGGATGTCGTCTACGCTTTGAAGAGACAAGGCCGAACCCTGTACGGATTCGGTGGATAAGCTGTTCGTCTATCAAACCAAACGGCTCTTTTCAGAGCCACCATTTGAACAAAAGAGAATGATTGCTTGCCTAATTGTGTTTTAATTCTTTTGTATTAAATGTGTATTGTGTAATAAAAGTATTTGAAAAAAAAGAAATAATTTTACACCTTATGACTGAATTACCTCATGACTACTTACGATTTGACGTTTGTGGTCTTATTATCGCCGCCTTCGACTTTTCTGCGTTTACCTTTCGACATGTTTATGCTCGGTATAAATTGTTGTTACCTACATATGTGTAGTACAGTACATATAAACGTTAAGGTACTGTAATTTAAAAATAGCCACGAGATATTTAATGCCCCAATTTGAATAAAGAAGTTTCTGTTCTGCCTTGTGGAGAAACTAAATTGATTTTTGAAAGTCAAATTAAATGATACACACAATTTTCAGATGTAATTTTATCAACCTCAGTATCCACTTATACACATAATTTGGCGATATCCAAATATATAAATTTTAATGATTTTTATTTTGATTTATTTAGGTGTTTGCCTGTCTCCGATGCTTTGTTTTAACCGGTTGTTTTCACCCCAATTGCTTTTAGTGTCTTTTATTCCTTTTAATGTTCATTTTACTTTCTGTGTAGATTCTTATTTGGTCATTTTTAATGTTTAACTTCAATTTGTACTGTATTAGATCAAATTGCAATAAAGTATTATCGTATCGTAACATACTGAGTACTTTTACAAAGGTAATTGTCAGTACTGTAGTTAAAATACTTGAACAGTACGGTACCTATGCAATTCAACATAACTTTAATCCTCTTCTTGTCATATATGTGCAGCTTTTAAATAAAAAGATAAATATTAATTTCTGGAGAGAGGCAAAAATTAAAAGTTTGTGAAGGGCATGCCTGAATAGAAAAAAAAAAGGAAAATAACAGACAATAGCTAACTAATGACTTGTTTCGTTGTTATATAGTCAGTATTGCTTTACTGTGATTCAATATATTATCTTGACGGGGTTTTAGACTAAATTTCTGTAGGTATATAACATCATCGACTACTATTGTCTCTTCAACATGCAAATGCTTTCCTTTTATTAAACGCAATTCACTTAAAACTTCAATAATACACGTAAGTTGCAAATAAATTTTTTATTAATCTCATTTCAAATCCAATGATACACATAATGTTATGATACTTTAACATATGAGTATTTCTAGAACAGGCATCGTAAGTACTGTAATGTACTTAAAATACTTGATCAGTACGGTACAGTATCTATTTTCATCCAATCAACTAGACTTGTTTCGTTGTTATATAGTACAGTAATATTACTTTACTGTGATTAAATATATTATCTTGACGGGGTTTTAGATTAAATTTCTATAGGTATATAGGCCTAATAGACATAGACTACTATTGTCTCTTCAACATGCAAATGCCTTCCTTTTATTAAACTCAATTCAATTTTGTAAAACAAATTTTATAATACACGTAAGTTGCAAATAAGTTCTTTTATTAAACTCAGTTCAAATCAAATGATACACATAATTTTATGATACTTAAATAACATCAGTATTTCTACACAATAGGAA